GTTTGGGTTAGAGGTTTCAGGATACTTATAATGGTATTCATTCCCACCCCTTGTAGCCAAAGATTCTTGTTCTTCCTCAGAAAACGGTAAAGCTGGAATTTCTTCATCATTCTTCTCAGGAATTGCTGAGGCTCCATAATAGGACTTGCCTTTTAATTTCTTCTTTGATGTGGATGTCGCCCACTGTTCATCTTCAAGTAAATCCGGATGAACCCAAAGGATTTTGCCATTGGGGGTTGTGTGAGACACAAGCCCTTTTTGGTGCTGTTCATGAGGGTCATCGTTGATGGTTTGCATTTTAACCTTTGATACTGGCTCGGCTCGAAACCAGGATAAAGGAACCGATCCGAAGCTAATAGACACCACATTTGCATCTACTTTCTTCTCTTTTGGTTTCGGTGTCACGATACCAACATCGATTAAGGTTTGTATTTTGTCTTTTAAGACATAACACGCCTTAGTAGGATGGTGGACACTTCTATGATATGCACAATACTTCGGATCGTTAGTCTTCTTCGCTTCTTCCTGGTTTGTGACCGGTGGAAGTTTGATCTTGTTGTTGTCTAAAAGATATTTAAAGATAACTGGTACTTCATCATCCTTAAAAGAATACTCCTTCGGGAATGTGGGCTCTGAGGTCTTAGGCTGCCTCGGAGGTTGTTGATTTTGATGCGGTGCTAACTGAAAAGATGACTGTTGCGGTTGTTGTTGTTGCGGCTGTTATGATGTTTGATGCGCATCAACAGCAGCTGCGGACCCTCTTCCTCTGCCTCGAGAGTTAAAGTTCTGTTTTTGAGGATTATCTGGTGGCTGACCCCTCTCTAACTTCTTTCTCTTAAGAAAGCGTTCCGCTTGTTCACCTCTCACTTTCAACTGGTGGCTGACCCCTCTCTAACTTCTTTCTCTTAAGAAAGCGTTCCGCTTGTTCACCTCTCACTTTCAACTCTTTCCATGTTTTAGAGGGTACAACCCCCATGACTTCTAACACATCCAACGACAAGTTATTATGGCATGTCTGTAGGATGAATTATTCTGTGAGTGGATCTTGGCAGTTTATCGCTTTGTTCCGGAATCGTTTGACGAAAATATCAACCGATTCTCCATCTTGCTGCTTCTCGTCCAACAAGGTGCCAATAGAAACCTCAGTGTCGTCGTCGAAGAAATTGGTGAGGAACAACCCTTCCATATCCTCCCAGCTAGTGATACTCCCGGGTTTAAGGCGTCGGTACCAATCGAAGGCAGGCCTACGGAGGGTTCCTATGAATGACCGGACCATCAAGATTTCGTTTTCGGATATTGCGCCAAGATGTGACTTGAAATAGATCAAGTGCTGAGTGGGTGAACCACTACCATCAAAAGGAGTAAAGTTAATCAAATTAAATTTTGGGGGATAAGGAATCAGATCCCACTCCCTCGGGTACGGGTATGGAATGCCCGTTTTCTTCACTTCTTGGGCCGTCATCAGAGCATTGACTTTGCTCTTGAGATCTTGCATCTTCTTGTCTTCTTCTTCACTCTTTTTCAAGTAGATTTGAGGAGGTTGAGTAGATGATTTAGCCGGACTGCTTCCGGAATTGTCCTTATCAAGAGGAGGATCAGCAAAGATAGTCTCATCTTCTTCATTATCGACCTCAGTTATACGTACAGGTATAGCGTTACGCTGGCTGGATTCCACCTTTTGGCTCGATTCCGGTTGGTGTTGTTGAGCCTGCAAATCTCGCATCTACTGCATTGTCAACTCCATTTCGGTTTTGATTTCGGCTCTAATTTCCTCGTGTTGTTTAGCAAATGCTTCCTGCAGTATTTGAGCTAGTTGATCCGGCGTGATTGCAAATAATTCTCTGACTTGCCCAACACTGGACGTGGTATCGTCCGATGCAACGTCCGAATAAGTATCTGACAGTTCCTCATCTGAAGATAACCCATCGTGCATTCTCTTGTAGTCTCGACGTCGGTTGGCTCTTCGTTGTAACCGCAACATCCTTTGAGAGAGACCCTGCTCAACTCTCCCTCCCGGAGAGAAATCAGGGTCAGGGTTGACTAATTGTTGCTTTCCTTTACCGGTCATATTAATAGTGACCTCAGGGAACTCATCTTGTTGAGTTACAGGTTTCTTCTTGTTGAAACGCCTCATTTTGGGTTTTGACGCTTCGGTGGAAAGTCTTTGAAATACGGAGACTCTTGTTGGCTTAGTTTCGGAGCAACCGCATTCTGTCAATACTGTCTTAATGAGCCTCTCGCAGGAGTAATGAGATTCATCTTCTCGGGCAATTCTTTTTCGTGAGTTATTATTTTGATAGTACAACTCATCATTATTATGATTTGAGCAACATATCCTTTGCTTTTGAGCCTTGTTAACATGCACAGGACGACTAGTTGTCGCCTCTGGGCGATCCAATGTTGAAATCTTAAATCCACCCCCTTGCGGGCATGGAGTCTTCATAGGTCCTAAACGAGAGCGAATTGGTATTTTCTCATTTTAGACTTGTGCAGTTCTGATAGGAGGATATTTACGACCCCCTGCATAAGAAACCACTAAAGGTTTATTTGCTGGATCCGAGTATTCTTTGATTGGGGTTTTGCCTCGATCGTTAGACAAAGGACTGAGACGATCCGCCATTGTGACCTTAAATTTCGACAGGTCGGGACTGACCCAAGGCTTCACCGGTAACGCAACAGACATATTTGTAGCCGACGGACAAGAAACGGACGTTGATGGGGTCGAAGTGCTTTTATGAACTTCCTCTTGACTTCGGCGGGGATTGGTGCCGCGGTTAAGAGATGTTCCACCTTTCTCCAATTTTTGTACATGTTTGGTTTTGGGAATCCAAACTTTACTGTTTTTGGTGATTTCTCAGACACCATTTCTTTCTTCATTCATTGCATCTGTTAACGAAGGGCACGGGCACGAGCGGCCTTCATCTGACGCTTTTGTATACGTTCTTAAAGGGTCGAACGGGCTCTTTTGACTAGAGGCCATTCCTCCATCGTAAGTTGTGCAGAAATATGATTAGTTTGTCGTTGAGGCAACTGGATCACTTTATGCTTCCTCGACTCTAGGTCCGCATAGTAATGGACCCCGTCGGTTTGTTGTAAGGCCTTAGCCAATTGACGAGCACGGCGCTGACGTTGTCTCTGACGAGCTCTTTTCATCGGTGCCGACGGGCCGTGATTCAACGACTCCTTAATTAGTGCAGAGTCACTTGGAGCAGAGATGTTGTAGGCAGATTCCTTAGCAACGATCGGGCAAGAACCTTCACTTGCGGTCTTCATCGGAATTGAAGACTGGAAAACTTTCTTGGAAGAGGAAATCTTCCTGCATTTGCGAGGCGATGAAGATTTTGAGGATGAGGATGATAGATACTCCTCGAATTTTGCTTGATCGAATTCATATTCGATCTCTTCATTGATCACGATCTTGATCGACTGCGACACTACGACCTCGGCAGCGAGACTGTTGGCTCCCACTGTGGTCGTCAGTTTATTTTCGTCGAAAGTCGTTTTCATTGTCGATTCCATTAAACTTCAGTCGTTTATAACAAGTTACAATGAAAAAATAAACAAATTATAACTTTCTTAGAAAATAACACAGAAATCGTTTATCGACTCCTGTTTTGTGGGACTTTGCCTGCGCCGGAAGTGCTTTGGTTCGTGGACCACCGATTCACAGATCGTGAGGGTCTTTGATATCCTTCCTTCGTTTAGAAGCAAGAATGAAATCGTGGACCACCGATTCACAGATCGTGAGGGTCTTTGATATCCTTCCTTCGTTTAGAAGCAAGAATGAAAGTCAGTGAATATCTTATCAAAGTAAGACAATCACTCTTCTTAAGATCAAGTCAAAGCTCGAATCTCAATGAATCACACAAAGAACTCAAGTTTTACTGTTATGTCTGTTCTCTATGCTCCTCTCTGCTCCAATTTGCTCGATCCTTGTAAATAATGGCCCTAAAGGGGTATTTATAGCCTCCAGAAGAAGTTCAACTGAAAATACAACGTTTCGGAGAAACTGTGCGTGCGAGACAGTGTTTACTGTCTCGACGGCCATTTGTCGAGACAGTATTTGCTGTCTCGGCTCCCGAGACAGTAAAATCTGTCTCGGAAAATCCAAACTGCCCGACAGTTTCCATTATAACTGCCTTCCCACGTTTCAAACTCCGTTATTTTGACAGTTATTCATGTGATTCTCGCCCACGATGTTTCTCACGTTCTTTGACAATTAATGGACACATGTCATGTAGTTATTTTAATAATTTTAACTGTCTCAGAACTGTCTTGCGTGTGAGACAGTAAACACTGTCTCGCGTGCGAGACAGTAAACATTGTCCCGCACGGCGAGACAGTGAACACTATCTCGAGTGTGAGACAGTCGGCACTGCCTCGATTCTTTTGAGATATTGTAAGATCGTCTTTTGTGATCTTTGGATGACATTCTCTTTGTTTGGATATCTATTAGCATTTTTTGACGCCTACACTTTGCACGGTGCTCACACTAGTAAAGAGGAATGAGAGAGAATGGAAGGTACCAAAACCCATTTATTCTATTTAGAAAGTTTTTAAAAGAGAGAAAGTGTTCTCCATATGCCCCCTAGATTCGCCTCCACTCAATAGAAATTTGTTCTCTCCCAAATTGGGATGGAATTGAAGGGAAGAAAATTATCTTTAATCCTCCATTTTCCCTTACCTTACCCTACCACAATGAATTGCCAAACACACCAAACTTTCATATATGATATGAGTCAGAAGTTTTTCATATAACACGTTTTACTAGTTTCGCATGAGAAGCGTCTGGATTTGCATTTTGGATCGATGTCCAGAAGCTCAAGATACAAGGTGATCTCTTGCATGACAAGAAGTAAGACTGGATCAAATTTATAGCTCGGGTTTACATCCGACTAATCTTTACCAAGGAAAGGAGTTGAGCGTACCACGCAAAAAAGAAGAGTTTTTTTGTCCCAAATGAGAAGAGATGAATATAAAAGAATGAGAATGACACGAGATAACAAAACTGAAACCATCAAAATGATTAATTGAGATGCCGCTTATCGTGTAGCCAAGCTACGATACTCTTCCAGAGAGAATCACCTCAAAAAAAGGCAACAAAAATTCATCCGAAGAATACAACTTATTAGCATGAGTACAGTACCCAGCATAAATTGACAATTTTACGGATCGAGATTGAAGGGGAAAATAGCATTGAATTGCTTAGTTAGCGCCGTAGACCCATTTCTCGGCATTGCTAGTGTAAGAAACCAACTCGCTAGGCTCGAACCACAAGGCAATTTCATCCTGGGCTGTTTCCGGCCCATCACTACCGTGAATGATGTTTCTGCATTTGAACAAGAGCACAAAATAATTAGACTGATGTTATTCACATCAAAACATACCCAATATAAAATTCTTGTCTATTACTGTGTCCACTAGTCAGCACAAGAGATTCCTACAACATGTGTAATGAAAGGACAAAAACTCACAACGGTTGTGCTAACTAGAATATAGTGGTACATATGTTTATCTAATTTCATTGCCATTCATAACCATTGACAAATTATTCACATTGTAGGTTTTAAGGAAGAGTACCCGACGGTTATGCACTCTATGAAGTGTCAGCAACATAAAGTTGCATTACATGAAGAAGTCTTATTCAAGGAATGAAATTGGTTGCAAGTAGGGGTGGTAAACGATCGAATCGAATCGAATACTAAGGTGTTCGTATTTGTATTTGTTTAAAATTATCGAATTCGAATGCGGACTCAGATATTCATATATCTAGTTTTTCGAATTCGAACTCGAATACTTGGTATTTGATAAATATTCATGAATATTCACGAATACTTATCGAATATTAGAGTATATTTATTCTGCTAAAAAATTTGATTTTCAAATAATATTAAAATTCATAAATAAAAATTATTCCTTTTTAATATATGATGTATATATATTTAAATTAAAATTTTAATTAGAAAATAGATTTAAGATTATTTTATACTTAAAATCAGTATATAAAAGTTAAGTAGAAATGGTAAGTGAATTAAAAATATGACATCATATGTGCAATAATACAAATAATAAACTGTGATTAAATTTTAAACGAATATTTAATAGACAAACGAATCGAATATACATCTGGTTAAATTCTATTCGTTAGTAAACTCGAATACTAAAAAATATTTGTTTAGTAGTAAATGAACTACCGAATCGAATATGATTGAATAGTTATTCGAACAATTATCGAACTATTTGTTAATTATTTGGTTCATTTCCACCCCTAGTTGCAAGCAGTAGGGGAGGACCGCTCCAGACATTGGGTGAGGGGGTTGACAGATTCGATGAAACGTAAAAACTTTCTTTGTAATGTAGATCCACCTTTCAAAATTCTTCTTTCTTCAAGCACCACAATATGACAAATTCGTTTATTAAAAAGGGACCTAAAAGCTAATCGAAAGAAAGATATTATCATTATTTACATATGCTTAGTTTGGGAAATTAAAAGAAATATTTATTTAAAAATAATACCATTTTTCGGCTTTGTCTGCAACAATTAACAAGAAACTCAAAAAATGTCTTCACAAAATCTGACTACGGCTCGGACAATCGTAGGAAAATTTGCACTGGATTGGATTGGGATCAATCATAGCCTCAAGATATACTATGATAGACATTCTTGATAAATTTTAGGTGTAGAGCAAATTAATACTATCTAAAGTTTAGAGACCTATGCTTATGATTAAATAATAAAGCAATGGGAACCTTGGAGTTCTAAAATATGTATGCAATGATCCCAGTTCTGGACCAACATGTCAGCATGGTCTCAGAACTCAGAGTTGAGTACAGCAACTTAAAGTTGCAATACCAATGAGATAATCAAAATATTTACTAACCTCTTCTGCTTCTTATGGCAAACTTTGGAATAGACTGTACTAAGATCTAACTAAATATATGAACCATTTTGTTTGTGTCTAATGACCAGGTGTATTATGTACACCTTATGGCAAACATCATAATTCTTTTAATTTGTTGCAGAAATAATAAATAAAATTAAGGCCAAGTGTTTCGCAGTACCTCCCAACAACGACAGCTAGATCTCCTCGAATAGTTCCAGGCTCAGATTTTTGTGGATCAGTGGCACCAATAAGTTTTCGACCATATTTTATAACACCTTCTCCTTCCCAAACCTACAAAAGGAAATATATTAAACAAACCCTTGTTCACAAAATAAATGGGTCATGTCAACTATCAACTATATTCATTTCCAAAAACGGTTGTATTTACCATAGCGAGCACAGGACCAGAGCTCAGAAAGTCACACAGGCCATTAAAGAAAGGCCTTTCCTTGAGGTCATGGTAGTGTTTCTGAGCAAAGTCTTTGGAAGGAACTACCAATTTGATGGCAACAAGTTTAAACCCTTTGCGCTCGAAACGTGAGACTATGTCAGCAATCTGAAGACAACAGGTCAAACGTTAAGAGTAAAAAAAAGGAATAAAAAGTCACAAAAGTCTTAAAATATCACTGGAACACCTAAAATATGAACATAAACAATAGAAAATATATAAAAATGATAGTTTAGTACAAGTTAATGGCATAAACAGGTTCCTGATCAGACATGAAAATAAATATAGCTACACTGCTGTTGCTTTGTCCTTGGATAAGCAAAACTATCTTCTTTCCTCTTCTTCTAGACTCTTTCTTTGTCAATTGCAATTCCAAATGATTGCTCCTTAGCCTACATATGAACTGGCCATGTACGAATCCTAGGAAGTGCAAAGAAATTGGCGCAGATTTAGAGGATTGACATCATGTTGGTAGCTGATCTTCAATATTTGTCAAATATTTCATAAAACCCTACCAAATTTTGACAGGGGAAGGATTACCATGTCCATGTTATATGTATAGTGACAAATTATTCTATAAGAAACAAGATAAATCATGTGCTTCGATATGATGATCTACACATGAAAATGGGAAGGCTTACAAGTCCTCTTTGAACTCCATCAGGCTTTATTGCAATAAAAGTTCGTTCCAGCTGAAAAACAGGGTGAAGGTGTAAGAAAGTTAAGCTACACGTTTCACTCTAAAAATGGAATAAATTAACATGTTAACAGGATATTATTATACCTGTGCTGCATGTGCGTCCTGGTCTTGAAGCATGTAAGCTAGAAAAATGGAAAATGAGTTATAAACATAAAAATTTTATGAGAAATTAAAATATGATGAAGAAAACATAATCAACAGAATGTCATACAAAGTAGCAAGCAAAGCAAATCATCTCATGTCAAATTTTTCACATCCTGAAACAGCAAATTTTGCAAGACAAAAGGACAATGGTTAGATGTATAATGGCTGATCTTTTGTGGATTAGGATAACACTCAAACTTTCATGCATAAACATTAGACTGGCAGACCTGATGATGTACTATAATGGCTTGCATAACATGACTGCAAAGAGAAGCAGGCATATTGAGCAATGTGCATAGAAAAACAAGGATGGATTCAGCTGAACATTATAACTTTAAGGCCTTGCTTGGATGATTGGGCTTTCTGTATAAGCATGACTACTAAAGATTTCATCGCTTTCTCTGTGAAGCTTACGATACTAAATCATTAGAAAGGAAACTACTGGTGTGCTATGAAGACCATTCCTTTTGTGTACTGTAGATTCACCAGCACAGATCAATAGGATTTTCAAATATGTTACTCTACACGAACTGTATAAACAGTAAATCTAGCATTGGATCAGAAAACACTGAGAGAGAAAATAATTCATGTAAAGCAATAGCTTCTTGATTCTTGAATATAAGGATAAAGTAGTCTCAACCACCTGTTTAAACTTTATCTGACTTATCGCAGTATCGTTAATATCATGATAGCAAAAAAAAAGCAAAAACAGATATTGAAGTTGTGAAACACAGAAAGGATCAGATCGAAGGATTTATCAGTGTAGAAAACATGATGGCAGTGACAAGATCTAACTGGGATCTCCAGAGAAATATTGGGAGAAGTCTAGACCAGCACTCATACTCGGAGTACGGCCCACGCCTTTTCTTTCCACCCAGCATCAAGTATAAGCATGATGTATTGCTATCGAAGAGGTTGCGAGAGCCACAATGCCAAAACTTGGGCAAGAGCAAGGGCCCTCTTCTTTTCCCCAGTTTTCATCTAGCCACCACCATAACTATTTTTCTACTCAAACCTTTTACTTTGAAGCATCATATCCTCTCTTTTATAAGTATTAAAAGTAGTATAAGGGTGAAACATGTAGCAATATGTTTCACTCAAATAATGAGAATATCAATTGATTCAAAAACATATCAGAAACAATCAAAAGAAACAATAAATCATAGAGGGAATTCACTAAACAATATTGTTTGCAACCCAAAATAAGTGGTAAGTCCAGACCAAAGATTAGTCTAGGCATTAAGAAGGAATCGCTTAAAGCTTACTGTGAGATTCTGTCAGTTGTATTGTAAGATGCATCACAAATAATCAAGTAATTTGACTAAAGTTAAAGATTCAGCAAATATATGAGAAACCAACAATAAAATCAACTTCACAGAGAAAGACTAAATAAGAGTAAAAAATTGGAATAATATATACTGCATTTTCATTCAATGATTCAGAAGTGGGATGTTTAATTGAGCAAACACATGGATTGGGGATGGTAATTATACATGCAAGTGTATCCTACTGAAAAATATCAACACAAAGTTATAGTTAAATAAATTTAAAGTGGATTTTCGTCAACCTGCAGCAGGAGCAGCCATAGCACCAGCAATCCATCCTCGCGAGGCACTCCTGCCCTCAGTTCTCTCATAGAATGAAGATAATGTCGACATGTTTCCTCTGAATACAGTAGTTGTTGCCGCAGCAACAGCCCGTCCTTCTGTCAAGATAATAAAAGTAGACATTCAGGAAGCATGCACGTCCATATCTTATATATCTACCCTAAAACCTACATTATTTTATAGTCTGCTCATTTGTGCAGCCAGAATTTACACCAGAGCGGGCATTTTTCACAATTTATTTCTCAGAATAATAGGAAACTACAAGACCCAGAGCATTTTCCTGGGCTAATTAAGTATGGATCAGGGAAAGATACCATTGTCTTCACTCTGTAACATGATAATACCATAGTAAAGATTAGAAGCATATTTTGTCAAAATCAAATATAGAAGAGATTGTCCTTTAATAAACAAACTTCATAAGTTTCAAACCCGTAATAGCAAATCTAAACACGATATATAGAAAATATAACATTAACTACTAACTCAAATTTCTTCTTAGCAATTTCGTGGTCGTTAGACATTAGAACTTTTTAGAACAATAACAACCTATTTTTTTTTATTTGCAGGTAAATCATCTGTGCCAACTAGCAGTGGCGAAGCCACATTGCAGCCAAGGCGGCCCCCACCCCCACCAAAACAAAAACAAAAACAAAAAAGGGTTCTTTTTATATGTACCCTCTTATATTATGCATATTTGCAAAACTCTCTCTTAAGTCTCAATATTTGTATAACCACCCCAATTTAGGCGAAAAAAACTTAAATCAACAAATTGTTAATCTTTAACTTTGTTGGACGTAGTGAGAAAACATTTCAACACTTTATTAATGTATTTATATTGCAGTTATAAGTTAGCCTATCAACCTTAAGGATTTATTTATTTGGGTTTAAATAAGGTTGAAATAATGGGAAAAGTTTTGGAAATATTGAGATTTGAAGGATAGTCTTTCAGATATGCATGATGTAAGGGGTATATGCAAAAAAACCAAAAAACTTTAAAAAAACCAGGGAGGTTGATTGGTGGTAATAATTTCATGAATCATACGGGATAAAATGTAAAATCCCTCCAACTTAACTCAAAACTCCTCAGCTTCTCTAGTGAGTTGCGGATTAATCGCTAATCTGCAAAAACCCAACTGTGTTCACTCTACCTTGATGCCCAAAGTCCCAACTAGCTAGATCTCATTCCCATGCATTTCCTTTGGCCTCATCTGACTACTTCCCTTCATCTCTAGCTCATCCTGAACCACATTTTTAAACTTTCCCCTCTCATTTGGTATGGAGCCCCCTTGCCGAAATTCCTGGCTCCACCGCTGTCGGCTAGTCAACATCTTTCTCTTTAAAAAAAATATCCTTCTTAATAATCAAGAAAATAATAGTAATCATCAAGAACCTCCTCCGATAATCCCAACATAATATCTGCTAATTTAGTAGCTTATTGCATAGCTCTGGATCCTCTCCGTTACCCAAGAGTAGTGGACAGACCGTTACTTTGATTATTACTGTCCATTATTCAATGGATGTCACTCTAAATTTACCATACCCCTGCGTACTGCATTCACTCAAAACAAGTCACAACCAAAATAAACACAGTTGTCAGTTGAGATCGAAAGCAGTGGTCTCGCCCCTACTTTTCAGTAGTAGAGAGGAACCAAATCGCTTGTTATAGCTAATTGATTGTTTGCACTGCTTGAAGATTAGATCGAGCAAAAGGCCACGGAAATGCTCGAACAAGGCTCCAAAATAAAAAAATGCAATCTCGTGAATATAACGTTCGCTATACTTTCCAATAAGATCGGACCAGTTTTATTTTAAAGATCCAACATTTTCCGCTTTCCAGAATAATTCCCAGCCACGGCCACCAGTGATGAGCTCAATCGAGAAACGAATCAAAAGAATTCAACAAAGAATGAAAAATGCGCGGAGAAAAATACAACTTCAAATCGCATCGAGGACTCACCGAAGAAGAGAGGCGAGGGCTTGGAAGCCGAGAGCACAGACCTCACGGCCCTGGAAGCGGATCGGCAGATCTGAGAGCTCATCTTTGTCAGCGATCAGCGAGATCTAGGGTTAGGGTTTTAGTTTGGACTGCTGCTTCTCTCTTCTCACAGTGAGAGAGGATTTATGAAAGGCTACGGTGGGGCGTGTTGTGGATCTGATGCTAGCGATGGTCAAACGCGCCACGCCAACGGCTGAGGATGGCGAGATGTTTTTACAGTTTTGCCCCTCACAGTTCTCGCTGATCCGCACGGTAGACGAGATCACGGCGGCTTGCATCTGAAAG